GAAAGAGTGCCAGACGGAAATGCTTGAGCTGATACAGAAGTTCCTCAAGGTGACTTTCTGGGTTTTGTGCCTGTACCATGTGTTTCAGATTGGAGCATCCCTGATGTCAAGCAATGTGGGCAGTGGCTTATTCATCGGCCTGGCAGGCACTGGAGCAGCTGGGGGCCTTGCTGTTGGGGGCTTTGAGTGGAACGTAAGAGTCAGTTATGTTGTCAACTAAGATGTCACTGTTTATAAAGGGACGGGGGGGTTTGTCTCTAAAATCAGATGCTAACAGTATTGGCAACTGCAAGTTCTGAAGCCTCAGGAAAGAAGCCTCCAGACATTCAGATAGCCTTAAAAACATGAGATCTTTATTTTAGTTTAAGTGGAATCCACTAAAATTATTAGCTCTTTGACCTTCCCAGAAGCACATGGCCATATTTTTAGGCTTTGGTCTGCACTCATCAAGATTAAAATAAAAGATAATAAATGTTAAAAAGGTATTTGGATCATCACAGGATTCTGGGTACAGGGAGTTTGAAAAAAAGCAGCATTTGCCCTTAAATTCAGTGTAAAGCCACGAGAATTGGCAACACTGCATTCACCTGTCAGCTGCCAAAATGTGACATCTCTGGGGTGAACATCTGGGTGTGAAGGCAGGTCTCATTCTGCCCTATTGAAGTGGCCTGGAAAATTGCCACTGACACCACACAGAGCATGAAAACCAGGTCCTTTGTGTGTGATGCTAATGAAATTTCTCAGCTGCACTGATGAGGAGTGAGATTAGTGCCAGCCTCACAATAAACATCACTCACCTAACTCTAAATCTCTTGTCTGTGTCAGTAGAGATTGCTAACAGTGCCGGATACTTGCCAAGCACAGGCAGGGCCCACCAAAAACTCTTTCCTTGGATATCTATTCACTGCACTAGTTTGGTTTTTTTTTTCTAAACCATTAAGATCACCTTTAAGTCCTTTGTGAGAAACCAGAGCCTGTGTTCTGCTTGGTGCATGTAGGACATACCAATATTGCTGTGCTTTAAGTAAATCTATTCAAGTCATTTTAGAAGCCCGTGAAGATAAGATTGTATGTCAGGGCAAATCTAACTTCATGAGTTTAGATTAATTTCTTTCAGATTGGAAAGGGACCTTAGATATGCCATTATCCTCTCCCTTTGTCATGGAACATCACTCAGCTGCAGTGATCATATGAGCATCTTTTACCTAAGCCAGTTTCTGCCACTGCAGGAGCCATGGCTGTTCTCCTCAGTCACTCACAATCTCTGCTTACAGGGATCAGTTTCATTTCTGATAACTTAAATAACTGATCAAAGTAAAATCTGGACTAATATGTAATGTACTTGGATGCAAAGTAATGGCCTGAGACAGCCAGGAGGTGATAATCCAATGGCTTTTATTTATGTTCAAGATCTGTTTGGGCTTTTGCTGGGTTTCAGAGAAGAAACACATGATGGGAGATGACTTTACACCTTCCAAAAGACCCTTCACCTGTGGCAAAGCAACTGAACTGCCCCTTAATCTACCAGTGACAGAAACACATCTGCATCAGCCTGCAAGGAGAACATCCTGGCAGAGTCTTGCTGTTGCTTATTTTTATGCTCCGCAGGGACAGTCTGCTGCCTCAGCCTCATCACTTGCTAATCAAGCAACAAACAGATGCTCCCATCCTTCTCTGAATCACTTAACTCTTCACTGCCACAGCATCAGTGGCTTCAAAGGCCACCAAATATAGCACCATCTTTCAGAGATCCAGGGCAACAGAATACACCATCTGGCCCAAAAGACCAGGAGATGGAACAGGACGTGTCACCCATGACAGAGACATACAGGGTTTAGGAGGAGAACTTCAAAAGCTTCTAATTATATTATAATAATTCCTCCACTTGTCATCTCATCTTCTGAGCAGGGAGAAAAAGTCAGACTGCTTCCCAAATATATTGCATTGCACTGTACCCTTCTGCTTTCTTAGGATATCCACTGAAAGAGCAGAGGAGAAGGACGTTCCCTTGTGTTGAATCATGTGCCTTTATTTTCTCTGTCTCATTAACAGGCTACCTGGGCACTTCTGGCTCTCGGCTGGATTTTTGTGCCGGTTTACATCGCAGCAGGAGTGGTCACCATGCCTGAATACCTGCAGAAGAGATTTGGAGGGCAGAGGATACAAATCTATATGTCCGTACTGTCCCTCATTCTCTATATATTCACCAAGATATCCGTATGTATCCAATTGAACACAACCCTTGTGTCTAGGGCAGGGGTAGGTCATCCTGGTACAATGCAGGGCTGCTCAGAGGGAACTCAGATGTCCTTGAAAGGACCAGTTCAGCTACCAGAAACAGTAGCAGTGTGTTAGTTTGCTGCTTTGCTCAAGTCAATACCTGCCTCTGCATTGATCATGGAGACCTATCCTAATAGAGCGAGCCTTCATTAAACAGCAATGCACAGTGAGAACTTTACAGGGATATGGCAGGTAATTACTAAACAGTATAAGTATTATAAGCTGTCTGCCTGCTTTTCCTCTTCTATCAGATCAAACCTTAGGCAATATAGACAGAGGAACTGCAGCATTACCCCATCTCAGAATCTGGCTGGTTGCATCTTGTACATGTGAAATTCTCTTAAATGATCATAAATCTGCTGTTGTTCTTGTAGCTGAGTTTTCAGCATTAGGTATGTTATGGTTATTCCTCTCTCTTTCTGTTGCTTTTGTTGTATAAAAAGGGTATGGTGAAAGGAAGGTAGGTTCTGGCTTAAGAGAAAACTCAGCATCTTTCCTGGATTGCTTGTAGCATTGTACCCTGCTGGTAGTCAAAAAGCAAGGTAAGCTTCTGGGTATTTCCCTTCATTTAAATGCCATTAATAAAGAGGCAGAACTTAAGCTCAGAGATTTGCTAAGAACTATCTGTGCCCTTGGAGAGAGAGGACTGTATTTCAGAGTCCATTACAGGGACTGAAAATGTCAGTCCTTTGTCTCCAGCTGATTGTCCCATAGCCAGTACAAGTCAGTTTTCACTAGATCCTACTGAAGTATTTGGATGTCAAATTGCCTTGGAAAACATTGACTGGAGATGAGGCACCCATGTGCCTTTTGCAATTGGCTTCAGGGTCCTTCTCCCAGGCTTATTATATCTCAGGTCCTGGGAGATGCATTAAGAGAAGTCCCAGGCTGGGAGTATAGGATAGATTTCCTCCTCAAATGGCCAGCTCTTGGTCATGTCACCCTTTGCCCTGGGGAACTGAGGCATTGCCCAGGATGAGATCTTGCATTTGCATGGGTAAAGCGGCATTTGAAGCATCTTCACCCATGAGAGATAAGTGGAAGATCTCTCTGGCAACAGCACCACAATGTGCACAGCTACACAGTCAATGTATGTGCCAAAAACAGACCAGTCTTTCAAAATGACCTTCAGCAGAGCAGTATTTGCCAATGCCTTTCAGAGCAGGACCCTGGCCTCAGTCATTGCTGTTTCATCTCAGTAGTTTCTCCTCTGTGCAGCTAATTCACGCGTGGCTGACGGATGTGGCTGGTGGAGTTTATGGGCATGACAGGTGCTTTCTATTAAGCGGTGCTATTGTTTGTAGAGAGCTCATTTAGCGGCTGGCTGGACAGCAGGCAGTTGGTTACAAGAAGAATTTTTCTCCCTGTGCTTTTTGCCCAAACATAGGTTAGCAACTGGGGCATTGCAGTCTTCCCTGCTCGCAAAGGAAAACAGAGATCTCAATAAACAGTGTTGTCAAAGGACTGATCCTGCACGGCTACAGAGGTGTTTGTATTTCTTGCTGGGAAGTCAAAAACCAGAAGACACAGTGGTTCTTGTGGTGTAGTGGCAGTGTTTGTCCTGTCTCAGGGTTACAGAGGTCGGGAGTTGCACTGGCTGCTTGCTTTTAAGGTGCTTATTTCAGGCACAGCAAATAGAAATCTTGCCCATCCCTTCTGTCTCCCTTGGCAAATGTCTTTACCTGTATCTCACCCCGTACCAGATTTGCAGGTGTCCTTCAAATCCATTTCCCAACCTACACATCCCCCATATCACCTTCTGCATTTGAATGATGTTATCTGTATAATTCCAGGTTTCACTCAGTTTCTGGCTTCACTCTCTCTGCCAGTAGATCCAAACAAAACAAAGCCGATGCGGGTTTCTGTATTTCTAGTGAGGTCCTCAGCAGGTATAACCTGTTTCTCTGGTGTCATTCTAGTATGCTGAACTACATGAATAGAAAAGCAAGCTGTTGACCTTTTCAGGTAAATAAATCATGGCACAAGATATCAGTGATTCTTTAGGGGTCTTTCAACCAGGAGTGTCTACTGGCCACTAGGCCACCAAGATGTAGTCTTGGGAAGAACCTGGTCTCTGTTATTTGCCCCTCTTTCTTTCCTGTGTCTGCCTGTGGATACATTGGCTCCTGCTCCCCACGGGTGTCTTCACAGTCAACAAAAGGAGTGGCAGTTTCCACCAATACCTGTATGTGCCAGTGAGGATTACATGCCATGAAGGCTGCCTGTAAGATAGCCTTTTGGTTGCTTTGTAGTACCTTGATGTGGGACCTTGATTTTCACCCTCCTGATGCCCCAGCTCCAAGATGCTGAGAGCTCTGACCTGGAGGAAAGATTTTCCTTGCGCTGAGAACAAGAAGGTTCACAGCCAACAGCCCCATGCTCTCTCCTCCTCTTCCACTTCACCTTCGTGGTGTCCTCCCTCGTCAATGCTTTCAGCCGCAGAGGGCTGCAGGCTGCTTTATTAGATTTCACTTGCACGAAGCACTATTAATGCCAGACTGCCCTTGTTTTTTTTTTATTCCAGACAGACATTTTTTCCGGAGCATTGTTCATCCAAATCTCTTTGGGCTGGAACCTCTACTTGTCCACTGTGGTCTTGCTAGCAGTGACTGCTGTCTACACCATAGCTGGTAAATAGCTGATTTTAAAAGAAACACTATAAAACTGGAGCCTAGGACATAAATTTCCCCTTTCCTACATTGGGGAAAGTACTCAGGTCCTGGTCTGTGGGAGAGATTCCCCTGGTTGCTGGTAGTACCTGCCCTGTCACTCCCAGCTGTTGGAGACCTCTGGCTATTCTCCTCTCCCTTCCTGGCCCAAGGGAAACTGATATGGGGGGATTATCACTGTTTTATAGAGAATTTTCTAACACTACAGAAGGCTCCTGGCTCCCTCTATGCAGATAGCTACCACTGCCCATATTTGCTCTTTTTTTTTCTCTTATTGCAACATTAGCATCCTTAGATATTAAGATGCTGGACTGCCTCCAAGTCCTCTCGTGAACATGGACAAGCCCTTTAGGCCATTCGTCACAGGAGGGCTTGTGACAGCTATAGGCTCCTGGGGACCAGCTCAGTGCCAGCTTCTCCCAATAGGTCTGTCCTGAAATCACAGGGCTGGGGCCAAGGTAAACTTTTTCCAGGTGAGGTACCTGTTTCATTGCACATGATGGCTCCCTCTGCCTGTTGTCTCTGGTTCTCATGACAGGTGGTTTAACCGCTGTGATATACACAGACGCGCTGCAGACCCTGATCATGGTGCTGGGAGCTTTGGTCCTCATGTTCATAGGTAAGGGGAACCTGCAGTGGCATCATACACTGGTTTAATGGTCCTAAGGTCATTAGACCTTAGCAGGGTACCTCAGCTTTTCATGTATGGTGCAGAAATTAGTTTTAACTACTCACAGAAGTGGTGCCAGCACAACTCTCATTTGCCAAGTTGTCGGACTTGCTTCATCCTTTGCACTAACTGTACGGAAGTGAGGTTCTGGATAACCAGAGCTTGCAACACTGCATTCCCAGAGCCAAATTCAGCTCTCACTATACTCATGTAAATTCAGAGTAATTCTGCCAACTTTCTGTGTTGACTTTGGGAGTTACTGTGCATTCATCTGGGCGTAACTGACCATTATAAAGAAATGAAAAAGCAACAAGGAACTGGCCATCATTAGTCTTTGCTTTAAGCCTTCTTGACAAACAGAAATATAGATATATCTTGTTTCATGTCATACCTTCCTGCTTCTGCTCTTGGAGGGTGCATGAGCAAAGACTAGATGCTGAGGACATCATGGGGATTAGGATCATGGAGATTTTCCTGCATTGATCCTCTTCCAGGATGCACTGTTAAAACCACAAGGACTCCGGGCAAAATCCGACTGACTCTTGTAGAAACCTTGACTGCCAAAAGCAAGGGTGGAATGAAAAGGAGATGAGAGGATGATAGGAGAAAAGAAACGTAATCATGAGACTCAGATAAGGAAATAACCTTGCAGGGAGCACCAGACCTTAAATCACTGGCATTTTCTTTTCAGGATTTGAAAAAGTTGGCTGGTATGAAGGACTTCAGGAGAAATACAGCACAGCAATACTGAAGATCATAGTCCCAAACACAACCTGTCACCTCCCACGTGCAGATGCCTTTCATTTGTTCAGGGATCCAGTCACAGGAGACATTCCTTGGCCTGGCCTTATATTTGGCCTCTCTGTGCTGGCTCTTTGGTGCTGGTGCACCGACCAGGTAAAGAAAGTCTTTCCCTCTACAGGCAAACCACCACACTATTATTTCCAATCCACTCCTCAGTTTGTGGATCTGTGAGCTGAAACATGACTGTGTCTCACTGTGCAGGAGTTACAACATTTTACTGGTCTAGACCAGAATATCTCACTCCTTCCACCTTCTCAGCAAGCTGCTAATTTTGTGCACTTCTTAGTGCAGAGAGAGCAGGTTATTTTCTTCCGTCTTTATCCCACTGTGGGCTGGTGAGTACTGAGGGTCTTCATGCAGTTAGTGTGACAAGAATATGAAAATGTGGATCTGGAGCTGGCTCTGCAGTGACCTTGTGTAGACCTCCAGACAAGCCATTCCT